AAGACTCAGATCCACAGCTGCTCATATTCTCTCCCCAAGACATTTGAAGAAAAGCCCCCAAGCATGCCAGTGAAAGCACTGTCAGGCTGAATAACTGCTAGAGACAACCCCCTCCTGGTGTTTTACCCACAGGATTTTCTCTAATATTTCTCTCTGTCAAGTCTGCACAAAGCAGAAGATCCACACGCATTATGTGCATTACCCCTATCGCCATTCCAAGAGCTAATTCTCTCAGCTGTAAATTATCTACTCCTGAATTCTCCTCCTTGGGATAACCATATGGATTTGGAGACTGTCTTTGGCCCAGGAAAATCTACACCTAAGAAAGAGAGTTTGTGCCACTGAAATGACCAGTGCTTGGATGCCATAGAGCGATAGAAGATTTTCACACACCAGCCCCTACTGCAGCCAATAGTGTTGTTAGTTGTGTCGCAAGAGCCCTCACGTGCTGAACACATGACTCAGGGCCCCACTGTGCTAAGCGCTGTAGAACCACACAACACAAAGGAGGTCCCTGCCCCCATCCCTCTCATTAGAGCTGCCATCAATCAGCCCAGACAATAATATTTCTTACCCACGGCATTGGCCACGTCACTCTCCTATTGAGAGGAATAGCCCAAGGTCAGAGCCCTGTTGGAATCCTTTGGAAAGTGGAAGCGGGAGAAGGACCCACCAAAAGAAATGGTGCAGAAACAATGAGAGAGGCAGGAAAACCAGGAGAGCATGGAGTGTGCAAATGAACAACAAGCTCTCTGTCAAGTTTTTAGGCAAGCACTAGGTGAACATCATCATATTTCCATCTGTGAATAGCAGAATTATAGAAATTTAAAAGACCCTCACACTGCACATTTCATTATTATTCAAGTGGAAATTTGAACCCCAAATTCTAGACTTTTAGCAAATCCAAGTTCTTCCAATTTACCTGAGGCAGTACCAGCTACTTCTGCTCCTTCGGGAGGGACAGTTGTGGGTTTTTCCTGCGTAATTATGTCTAAGGCAAAAAGAAGAGGAAAAAACAGCTATGAACATTACATCAGTCTCCCATCACCAGCCTGCCACTCAGAGCCAGGAGCTTGCCAAACTAATGTTTAGGAATCTGCATCTTTAGAGACAAGACAGACTTATCCCACTTACATATAGTACATGGGCTTTCGCTGTGACAATCAGTTGGGCTACCCTGCAGCAGGGATGTGAAAGCTCAATGTGGTGCCTCTTGCCACCACTATAAGTTACAAACTGCCCAAATCTGTCATTTCCCTTCAGTTTGACTCATCGGAACTTCCTAGCGTGACTTATAAAACTCCTGAACACGGTGTTCTCATTGAACATTCTCTGCAAGGTGTTGCCATGTGCAACTCCGAATTATGCATCTCCATCCCTCACATCAACGTATCCTTTGGCCTAGGAGAAAGTGCCTTGTGTTGGGAACCAGGAGATGAGGAGTTCAACTGGGATTATTTCTACTGGCTGGTGTTAACAATCCTGTGCCCTTCAAAACCCAAGTTATCACTGAGCCACCCATCCTCCCTGAATGAACGTTACACTGTGTAGGAAGAGAACCCAGATCTCTAATATGGCAGACTCAAGTCTCATCCACTTAGCCTAACCGAAAGAATTTGCCAAATCTAAATACTTGGTTACGCGGTGTGTACAATGAGGCTATTCGTGCATATATAATCCATTGTCTTAGTGTGTTGTGCAGCCTCCTCTAGTGGTTGGTCCATATAACAATTTACTCCTGCTGCCACCTATTATAATCAGTTCTTTGACTTGATAGAGCGCTATGCCGCAGTACAATCCCTTAGCCCGAGCCCTGGGAGCCCGAGTCAGCTGGCAGGGGCCAGCCATGAATTTTGAATTGCACTGTAGACATATTCTTAGACCTAAAAAGCATTGTAATCAGTATTTCAAATGATCCATATAGACTGTTCAAGAGACAGACTTTAGCTGTCCTTACTAGAGTAAGGCCATTTAGTAGCTTCCATAGCTGCTTATTAAACATTAAATGAGAGTCCAGCGGAGGGCAACAAAAATGATTAGGGGGGTGGGGCACATGACTTACGAGGAGAGGCTGAGGGAACTGAGGTTATTTAGTCTGCAGAAGAGAAG